AAAAAAAAAAAACATCAAAAAGTCGTGCATCTGGCGTGTCGCGGCTCGGTCGACTCGCGCTGTGACTGGCGAAACGCTCTCTGCAGGCGCTGCAGGGCCCAACCTAAGCGAGTCGTGGAATCCTCGCGTTCAGCGGACATGAGCAAGCTCGAGGGGACGGGTGTTGTTCTCGCCTCACCCTCCACACGGCCCTGCATGCCTTTTTCGTGCAGCCTCGAGGGTGGGAAGGCCAAGATTCGAGTGCGCCGCTAATGAGGTCGCGACATCCATCACCAGCCTAATCACCAGGGTCATCCTGGCCCCAACACGCCCACAGGGCATCTCGGTGGCATCCGACACACTGCCATAGCGACCAAGGGACCAACTGCACCATGAACACCGAGACCGAAAGCACGGCGGGAGGAAATTCGCTCTGGCTCACCTTCCTGGCCGCATGGATCGAAGAGGCACAGGCGAAAGGATCCAAGGTGGCGCAGACATACAGGAGAGCGCATCAGTCGCTGGCGTCCTGTCCGATCGAGTTTCAGCACCCATGCCAGACCACGCAGCTCGTGGGCATCGGCCCGACGATCGCCAACAAGCTCGAGCAGGACCTGCAGAGATGGTGCAGTGAGAACGGAAAGCCCGTACCAGAGCGCCGTGAGTATCGCCTTGCGCTCGAGCCGAGGCCTTAGCGCGCACGCCCTGACGACTGATCTCTCGCTCTTTTGCCTGGTCGTATGGCAGCCTCGCGCGCAGGCTCTACGTCGAAGCGAATATCCGGGCCAGCCGAAGCTCAAGGTGGCGACACGGAAGAGCCGACCGAGGGCGCAAGTGCAGCCACTGCCAAAAGGAGAACGACAGCTGCGACGGATCGCCCGACAAAGAAGCGTGCCTACGTGCCGCAGCACCGCTCCGGCGCATACGGGCTCCTGGTGGGCCTGCACATTCTCACGCGAAGCAGCACATCATCCTCCACGCCAAACGTATCGAAAACGCAGCTCATCAATGCAGCCCGTCCGTACTCGGACACCGAGTACGAGAGCGGCGCCTCGTCTTCGCGCTCATCGGCTGCGGTGCCACTCTCGAGCCACGCTGCGGCAGCGGGCGGCTCCGGAGGCTCTCGTTCCTTCTACACGGGATGGACCAGCATCAAGACCCTGATCGCCAAAGGATACGTGCTGCAATCGGGCAATCCTGCACGATACAGCCTGAGCGACGAGGGCGCCATGGTCTCCGAGACGCTTGCTCGCGATGCCGGGCTGGGCGACTCCATCGCACAGCCCGCAGACGTTGATCGCAGGCAGGCCGAGGAGGTGTCGGATCTGGACGATGACTGGTCTGACGACGAGCAAGAGGCGGCTCTGCAAACGCGCGTGTCCAACTTTGAACCCGAGATACTGACTGCCGGCAGCTACAGCATCCATCTTCTGGTCGACAATCGCGAGCGTCACCGACCGGGCCGGCGCCAAGAGCGCGAGCCGATCGCGACGCTGCTGCTGGAGCGCGGTGTGGACGTGGAGACGCGCGCTCTGGAGGTGGGCGATGCTGTCTGGATCGCACGTCGAAAGGAGCGGAAGGGCGGAGAGGAGGACGAAGTGGTGCTGGACCACATCGTCGAGAGAAAGCGACTGGACGATCTGACCAGTTCGATCCTCGACGGACGTTGGAGGGACCAAAAGTTCCGACTGTCGTCTTCGGGCGTCGCCAAAGTGCTGTATCTGATCGAGGACCACGACGTGGAGAATCAGATGCGCAAGTTTGGCCCGCAGATCCAGACGGCGCTCAGCAGCTCGCAGGTCGTGGATGGATTCTTTGTCGAGCGCACGTCTGGCCTGACTGCCAGCATCGACTATCTTGCAGCGATGGATGGCATGATCCGCAGGATCTACGAGGTGGGTGCATTTTCTTGACAGCCTGTGCATACTCGCGGCTGATGGCTGACTTTTACCCTGGCACTTTTTCCTTTTTACGGCGACGCAGCACCGAGACCTGTCGGTGATGCCCAGCGCGCTGATCTCGCGCTCGAGCTTCCTCTCGACGCGGGACGAGCTGCAGTCAAAGTCGCCCTCGGCCTCGATGCTCACGTCGTTCGAGGCGTTCCAGGCGCTCAACAGCAAGAGCGGCGGCTTGACGTCCAAGGAGATCTTTGGCAAGATGCTGCTGTGCGTCAAGGGCATGAGCGCCGAAAAGGTGCGCGAGGTGCTGGCGGTGTACAGCACCATGCGCGAGCTCACCGACGCGCTCGCAGAGGCGCACGACGAGCCGGGCGGGGCAGACGCGATGCTGTCCAGCTGCACCGACGGTCTCGATCCACGCAAGAAGATCGGCCAGGCGCTCAGCCGCAAGCTGTCCGAGCTGTTTCTGCAGCCTCGTTACGTGCCCGAGTCCGGCGCAGCATGAAGCACACTTTCAGAAACATCCATTCGAGCAATGTCAAGCCCCACATGAGCCTTGATAGGTGGCCAAGGTCTCAAACCTTTGGGTCGTCATGTGCGAGGATGACATGCTGCTAAAGTGACAGCAGGAGTGGGGTTGTACCGTGCGAGAGAGGACGACTCGGGTGTTTTCGAAAGACCCTGATTGGCTAAGCGGAGCGGTTGGCGCTGTCGACTTGGATGCAACACGCGGGTGTTGGCTGGATTACAAATGCGATGGCCCCACAGCGCAGCGCAGCGAGGCAAGGCGAGGCCCGGCCCAGCCAGGTGGATTTCAAATGGGACTGCTGCCCGGTGGACGCAATTCAAGAGTGCGCATTGGTTGTAAGTGGGGCTCGACGAGAAATTCAAATCATGGCGCGGGCTGCAGTTGGAAATTCTGGCCCAAATTGGGATTCCGGGCCAGCCAGGCGCGCGAAAATTCCCGTCCTCGTGAGAAGGAGACGAGGAAAAAACGGTACAGCAGACGGCGCAGTGGGACGAATTTCCAGCCGGACGATTCGGAAGAGAGAGAGAGAGAGAGATAGAGAGACTCGAGCTGGAAGGATCCGTCTGAGCTGGCTGGCTGGCTGGCTGGCTTTGGCTTCGGAGTGCGAGCCGTCGCTCATCGCCCTCTCGCCCAGACCGTGGAAGCGCTGGGCCCGCACCCGATCACAAATCCACGCGCTGCCAGTCCAAGTCCACTCCTTCTCACCTCTCCGTCGCCACCTACACCTCCATCCCCTCACCTCTTCTTTACGATTAGGTTAGCCATCATCACCATGGCCAACTTGTTCAACAGTGCGCGAACTGCGTTCCGCGCAGCCGTCAACGGCTCGGCCGCCTCGGTAGGTATCCAGTCGCACCAGCAGCCCATGCCTTCGTCTCGCCGCATTTCCGACCATTCGCACACCCCGACAGCCGTAACCACTGGCAGTTCGTGATCCTAGGATATCCAAGCATAGGTCGAGATGGCGTAGAAGGAGGAGAGCAGCATTGTGGCGACGAAAGCCCACGTCGAATTGCCAGCGCACTACTCCTTCTCACACGGACAACACGATACTTCGAGTAGCAATCATCAGCATTCGACTCCATCTCATTGAGCCAGCAACTGCATCGCCGCCCGACCACCGCGCTCGGCAATCGCAATGTTCCTCCGCACAGAATGGCGCCACCGACGCGCCTCCCTCTCGTCGATCCATTCGACTCGTCATCATCTTCACCATGGCCCGTCGAGATGGAATTAGCAAGACTGGAAGGCTTGATAGTACCCTCGCCGGACACGCCGACGGGACCCACCGCACCGACACGGCGTATCTGAACAGCGGCGTTTCGACCAGCTGGGCTGCATCCTTCACCCACTCGATCTGCCACGCACAGACGCACTGACTTTCAACTTGCTCGCCTTTCCATACCACAGGTCCGCAATGCCTCGACACACGCTGCCCCCAACGCCTCGCAGTCGTTCCTGACCTCGCGATCGTCGGCCATCGCCGCCACCGCCGTCGCCGCCGGCTCGGTCGCCTGGTACAGCCACCTGTACGGCACGCTGCCCTTCCTGGACACTGCCAGCGCCAACATGGCCGACGAGGGTCTTCACCCACCCAAGTACCCCTGGTCGCACTCGGGTGTCTTTGAGACTTTCGACCACGCCTCGATCCGACGTGGCTACCAGGTGTACCGCGAGGTCTGCTCGTCGTGCCACTCGCTCGACCGCATCGCCTGGCGCAACCTCGTGGGTCAGTCCCACACCGTCGACGAGGCCAAGGCCATGGCCGAGGAGGTCGAGTACGAGGACGGCCCCGACGACGAGGGCTCCATGTTCCAGCGTCCCGGCAAGCTCGCCGACTACATGCCGCGCCCTTACGCCAACGACGAGGCTGCTCGCGCTGCCAACGCCGGTGCGCTGCCGCCCGATCTCAGCCTGATGGTCAAGGCGCGTCACGGCGGTGCCGACTACATCTTTGCGCTGCTCACCGGCTACACCGACCCTCCGGCGGGCGTCAAGGTGCAGGACGGCCTGAACTACAACTCGTACTTCCCCGGCACCCAGATCGCCATGGCGCGCGTGCTGTACGACGGTCTTGTCGACTACGAGGACGGCACGCCCGCCACCACGTCGCAGATGGCCAAGGACGTGGTGACGTTCCTGCACTTCTGCGCTGAGCCCGAGCACGACACGCGCAAGAAGATGGGCATGCAGGCGGTGATTGTGCTCTCGTCACTCACCGCGCTCTCGCTCTGGGTCAAGCGCTTCAAGTGGGCAGGCATCAAGAGCCGCAAGATCATTTACAACCCGCCCTCGGCTCACTAAGCGTCGACAGGGATTGATTTCCGGGTGCTGTAGTGCGCCACCTTTGCAGTTGAATATACTCCATCTTTACACAGAGGCTGGGTGAGGATTGGATGGTTGAGTGGGGGTGGATGGGGAGTGTGAGGCTGTGGGTAGGGGGCAGATGCGAGTGGATGAGGCCGGCAAGCGTTGGAGCCTTATCGACCGGAAGAGCTTTCACAGACGATGTCGACTTGGCGCTCATCAGCCGTCATTCAGAGTCTGTACGGGGTTTGACCGGCTTGCTTTGAGATTCAGCTGTGAGGGTGGAGGGCTGTAGTGCTTTTGTGAAGCGCATGGCGGGGCTGACGATGGCCCATTTCGAGACGCCTCTCTAGTTGTTTATGTGGACCCGTCACCATGGTGCCTGCCCGCATCTGCACTGCACCAATCTTTCCACCCAGCATGGCCTCAACCGAATGCAAAACCGTCACCCCAAGACTCAAAAAGGGCAATCATGATCTCAACTCAAAAGGCAGGCCAACTCGTCGTGAGAAAAAAAGACGCCAGTGTTGATCATTCCACCATGCCCAGCTAGGAGCGGCGTGCACGGATGGAGGTAGAAATACAGCGGAGCCTAAGTGTGAGGAGTGCGAGGCGGCCAAGGGACCCGCACGAGCTAACGAGTAAGCCAGCCTTGGTGGACGCCTCTGTATTTTTGGGGGGGTTGAAAGTCACAAGGTTGACCAGAGGAACGCGAACGGAAGAAGCGTTTAGTCGAAGAGACCGAAGCCCATGTCGTCGTCGGACTCCTCCTTCTCCTCCTCCTTCT